TTATAGATAGATAACATAGGAGAAGGTAACTAGAAGGGGATGAGATTCTAGACCATAGAAAGGAGATAAGAGGATTAGAAAGCCAAAGCTTCACATAATTTGCATAAACCTATTTTGCTCTCCCAAGTCTCTATTTATCAACCCGGATCCCACACATAGCCTTTTAATTCGGTTTTGGGCTGCTTTGTCAATACTGGTCTAGGCCCATTCATAACAATACCTTCAGCCCCAATAAGAACCTTGTCCTCAAGGTTCAAGTAGTACCAATTTGATATTATTGTGAGGATTCTCATTGGAGATATTAAGGAAGCTATACATACTAACATCAGGAAGTTAGAAGCAGGTGTAGGCAGTTCTCGTACAACTTTACCGATGCAGGTGTAGGCAGTTCTCTTACAACTTTACCGATGAGCAGTACATTGCTCTGAATTATCACAGGGCGACTCCAACCTTCCGTTTTTAGGAGATAAAGTGACTCAAAGAACATAATCTCAACATTGTAGATATGTGATATAACACTCATTAGCAACTTTGTATGCCCTTTTGGTGCAATATAACCCTTTGTTACTATGTATTCCTTGTTAGCTAAAGGAATCAGAAAGCTAGTTGTATCCCTATGAAGAGACATGTCAATGACCCAAGCTACACAATTTCTTGAATTGGCCTCCTTATTTTGAGACACCAATGATGTATCCATATTCTTAGTGTCATTAATTGTAATGAGTTCTTTGAAATCATCCACAACCATTGCGTGAATAATTGTTTGCAGCGCCAAGAATTATGGGGAGCAAACTAGAACCAGGATCAAATGGAAAGCTGAACCCAAAATGATCAGGTGGAAATCGATACAACGATAATGGGAGGTTAGCATGACCGAATTCCTTGAAGTAATCAAAAATAGATCTTCCTATAATGTGGGTGCGACTAAAAATCGAAGGCAAACAAGGTAGTGCAAGACAATTATTATCAAACATGATAAGCTCACCATACTCTCCCTTAAATGCAGAAACTGTTTGAAAATTTTCATCAAACATATGGGATGCCAGATTTGTTGAATCAGTTATCACTGGATGTTCGACTTCCATGTCAATTTTCTTATCGGGCATTTCAGCGAACACCTTGCCGGCATAGCCGTTTGGGTTGTTCTTCAAGTCATATTTGGAGTCCAACATGGGGACCCAAAGTCTCAATATTAACCAAACGATGGACTAACCGCCTGAGAGTACTCCACTGCCCTATGATTCTTGTTTCTGGGAATGGGTAAGAACTCGCATTGTTTGTCCCTAGTACGGGAGCGAAAACGAATCAATGCCCTATGATTCTTGTTTCTGGGAATGGGTAAGAACTAGCGTTGTTTGTCCCTAGTACGGGAGCGAAAACGAATCAACAATTTGTCCACTAAATGGTCCCAGCCAGCCAGTTGTTTGTTGCAAAACAGCCATTGATACCATTCCAAAGCTTCACCGTTGAGATAAAAGGATGCCAAGGTTAGCTTGTACGTTTCTGCGATTCCGTAAAAATCAAAATAGCGTTTTGAGATAAAAGGATGCCAAGGTTAGCTTGTGCGTTTCTGCGATTCCGTAAAAATCAAAATAACGTTCAGCTTGGAAAATCCACGCCTCTGGATTTTCACCACGAAATCGTCCTAGTTCCACGGAGCTGGCCTATGACGGAGTGTGGGGGCTTCAAGAGTGTCTTTCCCGTGATGAGGACGAGCAACCTCCATTGTTGGATCTTGAATGTGAGGCCCTGCCGGAACGAACTTTCCGGTAATCTCCTGTAACATATGGCGAATGTCTGCAATATCTTTGGAAAATGACTCTTTCGCCTCCTTAATGGATTCATTGATGAGAGCCTTGAGTCTTTGGTTCTCCATGAGAAACCTCTCAACGAGAGCACCAATGTAACAAACTCAGTTTTCAAGGTAAACACTAATATATATATTGTTATTACGGAATACAAGTTACAATGTATAATACCCACAACAAAGTAACAACACTAATTATAGATAGATAACATAGAAGAAGGTAACTAGAAGGGGATGAGATTTTAGACCATAGAAAGGAGATGAGAGGATTAGAAAGCCAAAGCTTCACATAATTTGCATAAACCTATTTTGCTCTCCCAAGTCTCTATTTATCAACCCGGATCCCACACATAGCCTTTTAATTTGGTTTTGGGCTGCTTTGTCAATACTGGTCTAGGCCCATGCATAACACTGCTTTGTCAATACTGGTCTAGGCCCATTCATAACAGATTCTCTATTTTTTCTTTGGTTTGCGCTCCTTGAAGATATGGCATGTCTTCTTTGAGACTTCTTAACTTATTAGCATAGCAGAAGCAATATCTTTTTATTTGGATTAGAGATGGAAGAGGGGTATAATGAGAATGCCGCATTCGGTGTTGAGGATTTGATGCACAACAACCCTGCAATGAAAAACAGACGTATCATTCAAGTTTAATTTTCGTTTGTTGAGGGGTATTTGCACCAAGATTTTAAGGTATCTGCTTTGTTGATTGACAAATACGGGATGCTAAAAATCGCTGGTTCTAGGTTCGCAAATTCTCAAAAAGAGCATCCTATTTCAAATCAAGTTGTCACATTTTGGTGAAGAGCTTCAGAACTTCTACTAAGTGCTACAGATTATAAAATATGTATTGATTTTTGGAGTGCAGACGCAGACCGCCTCATGGCTGAAATGTTTGCAGGCAAGTCTATTCTGCCTGATCGTGCTAAAACTTTGACATTTTCTTTCCACTAAGTAAACTTAATTCTGTCTATAATAATATATGCTCAGATCATTCACACGACTCCCTAATAATGTAAAACACTCATCCATGAATTCAGCTTACATTGTTGGGAAAGTTAGATGGACTATGACGGGAGTTCAGGTGCTATATTCATTTTTTGTATAAGGTTATATCATATGTTTAAGTATTTAGTTTGCTTATAATTTAGGACTCTGCATACATCTGTTGATTGTAAATAATAGCTTTCTCCTACTCAATTTTGCTTTAAGTTTGATCATTAATGAAGAGCCAATTATAACAAGATCAAAACCTAATTTATGCGTGTAGAAGGTGAATTTGACTCTGTACTGCTGCTACTGAACTATGGTGCTGCTTTCATTTGGTTGTTTTACCTTTCATTTAAGAGATGAAACTAAGAGATGAAACAATGTAGTATTTGTGTTGAATTTGATTGTCTAATTGAATCTTTCTGTGGCCTTCTCCTGTAGTATGGGAATTCAGAGTGTAGTCAATGAGAAAGCTGGCAGATCAGTAGGACTACACAATGGTATGTGCTAAGACAAAAACAGACTCGAGATCGCATGTTGGACTGCTGACACTTATGCAACAATGGTTGCTGCTTCTATTGTATTTCGTGGAACTGATCATTCCTATTCTCAGAGACTTCTCAATAAAACCAAACAGGTACTAATCCTTCTTTATTTCTACCAGATATTGTAGGAGTTGTTCTCCGTTGTGGCCCTTCAAAATATGCAGGCTGCACACAAAATAGGTGTCACGAGGATACTATTTCTGATGATCAGTAAGTACAACCTTCTGTGTTATACATTCGTATTTATGTTTTCAGATTTTGACACAATCTTATTATAGACTCAAGAAAAAATAGTATTCATGTATTCCTCATGCTTTCAGACGAAACCAATTTCTGCTTACTTTATGGGATGACTTCAGGGAAATTGAAGGAGCTAAACTGGAAGCTCAAATGGGAAAGGGTAAAGAGTTCCCTGTAATGTAATCCTTGCAAGGAACATTGAAATCTCTGGTTATCAAGGTATGCGTGAATTACGTTGTTTTACTGAAATCTCTTTTTTTTATTGACAGTAGCATATGTTATCATCTGCTTTGAGTCCCAAGTGTTAGAAATTCACAGGTTAATCTTTCACTAGGGAAAGTTCAGCTATTTCATTCTCAGATGTTCATCACCACAGCGGTATCTCAATTGAACCACCCACGCCAATCAAGAAGCTGTGAAAGGTGACCAGTATGCAACTTTTCCAAGTTTTTGAGTCAAATGGATATGCTGCGCTCAGATAGGTATGTTGTGGTACATTTTCATCTAAATAAATGTTCAGTATTAAGATAACTTTTCGCTGTAAAATTCTGGAATTAATGTAGTAACTTCTGCTTCAGTTGTTAACTGTACTCATCTTGCAATGACTTTACATATAATTTAATGATACCTCTAACGTTGTTATCACATGTAATTTAATGATACTTCTGACGTTGTTATCGCTTCTACAAGGCGTACAACTATTCAATCAACGATCTGTACAAACAGATCACTCAGCACGGGGAGGCCCTCTAGTAGATAATAAAAGAAAGTAATTTGCAGGTTAAGTCAAATAACAAGTGACATGGTTTTTTTCTAAGAAAATTACTACCAACTCAAGAGTGTCAGACCACTCACCTATTTACAAACAAAAATTGGAATTTTAATTTACGTTTTTCTTTTCCTTTTGATTATTTAGTTTGTCTGGTTATTTTTATTGCATACATTTATTTATAACTACAGTATAAAATTCATTTTGAAATAATAACTACAGTATAAAATCAAGGTTTTGCTTCATTATTTGTCTTTAATTAATTTCAATGAAAAATACAAAATGTATATATTGATTTTGTCTGTGTTTGTATTTAATATTAAATTATTTATTACTCTCTCTATTTTAATTATAATTTGACCCGAATTAAGACGGTATGAATATTTTTGAGTTTTTTGAATCATGTGTACAAAAAAATTGAATCCATCTAATTATGTGTACAAATATGCATAAAGACCTTGTGTCCTGCTCAATACGTTTCCCATTTATTTACATAAAATATGTATGCAGTGTATAAATATTTACTTTATATTAATATGCAAAATATATACACAGTGTATAGATATGCTTTACTTATTGTTAAGAGGCATTGATAATAAAAAGCATTGCTAACTAATGAAAAAATAAATAACAGCAGAAAGAGAATGATTAATCATTCTCTTTTTCGATCCAAATGCAGGACCTTGGTTGAACTAAGTTAAAAATATTTGAACTTGAGTAAGCTTTGATGGCAGAGTAATCAAAAGAGTAATATTTGCGATTGGCCAAACAATAGAAAACACTCTTGTTGTTGTCGTGAAACATTGGGAAGTATATCTTGTTTCCTAGACCTTGTGCAACACATGTTTTCAAATACGATCCTCCAGAGCTCACAAACAATGTTTTATTATTGTCCAAACTTGTTAGTTGTTCCCTCTCCAACACTTTTCCTTTCAGTTTGTATCTCCAAACCTCTACATCCCCTTCTTCACGACTTAAAAACACAACTAACATTCCTCCATTATCTACGTCTTCGGCTGTGTATGCCTTTCGAATTGATGTTTGTTTTGAACTCGGAAAATGTCTCCCATAAAATTTCCAATTAGGTCTCTGTGTTGCTGAATTTCCCTTGATGCATAGTGTTCCCAAATTACCTTTATCTCCCAGTAAATAGATAGTATTGTTTTTGAAAAATAACGGATTATTGCAGTCCGATGTAGCAAAATTTCCTGTGTTGAAGAAGTAGTGATGCGTCCATTCAGTATCTCCAACTTTGATGATATATACATCTGGGACATAAATACCGGTTTCAAAACCAACAACAAAACAATCTGATGATGAGGAGTCAGGAGGACATGAAAATGTCCAAGCAGAGCAAGAATTTTCGTGCTCCTCTAGTAGATCAGGGAGTTCAATTATGTCATTACTAATAGGATTGAAAAAGAACATGCCGCGGCTGCCACTACTAATGAGCAACCAATTAGCTTTTGAGCTCCGAATTCGGGCACCCCTTAATTTTGGAATATCCGTCTTTTGGGTAGTTACAACATTGTACACTGGATCAAAGAATTCTACAATGCCTGTCTCTCCCCACAAGGTCATCAAACGAGGTGTTGGTGAACATGTCATCAAACGAGGTGGAAGAGAAGGGGGTGTTAAGGGAGCGTAGCACCAACGTTTACAAACGGCATGAAAAACAAAATATTCAGCAGCAACAAGACGCGATGATATTAATTCGAGTATGTCTGATGGAATACCATGTGACCACAATTTATCATAATGTGTCTCCTCCATTATTTAGAATAAGAAAATTTTGCTTCGAAGTTGAGATATTAAAAAGTGTGGAAATTACTATTAATTGTATCGGAAAAAGGACTTGTTATTACCCTATTTAAATAGAAATAGAATTGTAACTGTTTTTTTACCATATTTTATTTATGGAAATCCCAATTATTTTATTTATTTATGGAAATCCCAATTATTTACGAGAAAGGAAAGGAAAACAAATTTCCTGGACCTAGAGCAACTCTTATTCCTTTTCCTTATTATATTTTTGGAACTTATTATTATTGTTATATTTATTTTGAAGATGATTCTTTTAACTACACGTTAGACATACTAGCTAAACTTTAGTTTGTAATTTGTATCTAGGCTAAGTTGTTGAATTGTGTAGAACTCATGATGATGAGATCGGAAGAGAACAAGAACGAAAAGTCACCTCTTCCTTTACAACCACACCCTTGGCTTGTTATATGTCCGTCAGGGAAAACACAGACTTTTTTCAGCATATCAGAAGATCGATGTTATGAAAGAAGTATACACGAGCTTGGAAACACAACAATACGTGCTTCTGCTCAAGAGTGGCTCGTGTTAGAAGACTTTGCTTCTACTAATTGTTACCTTTGGAATCCTATTTCAAACGACAAAATTCAGCTCCCACCACTCCCTTATAACCACAATCTTTTGTGTGTCTTGTCTGCACCACCCAATGATCCTCACTGTCGCGTTCTCCTCCTAATTCATGAGACTACTCCTCCTAATGATGACGAGGATGAGAATTCTAATGATGACGTAGACAATGAGACTACTCCTCCTGATGATGACATAGATACCAATGGCAATGAGAATCCCGATGATGATTACACAGATACCAATGAGGATGACACGGACAATGAGAATCCCGAAGATGATGATGATGATGATGATGATGACACGGATCCCAGTGATGATGAGAATCCCTATGATGATGACGACACAGATTCTAATGATGATGACATAGACAATGAGAATCTCGATGATGTTGCAAACGATGACAATCTCGATGATGATGATGATGAGACTGCGCCTCTACCTACACTTTACTTGTGCAAGCCAGGTTATGATGATGAATTTCATAAGCAAGATCTGAAATCAATTATTGGGTTATGATGAAGAATTTCATAAGCAAGATCTGAAATCAATTATTGGAGATAACGTATTTTTGGGATGGACAGTATTCAAAGGAGATTTTTATGTATTAACAATGCAGACAAGTATTCTACTCCGTTTGGATGTAGATGATTCATCAGGAACAATATCAGCTACACCAATGACTAACCAACCTCCATATACTTACTTCACAGAACACTTAGACATGCCACGCTTTGAGAATTACCTCATTCAATCTCAAGACGAGCTGTTATACGTTTACATCTTGTTCTACGGAAGGAAGCTTGAGGATGTTTACAAAATTATAGTATTCCGGTTTGATTTTGTAAATCAAGTGTGGGAAGAGGTGAAAAGCATTGGTGAAACTGCAATTTTCTTAGATCCTTATTCTAGAGGAACAACTTGTTGTACTAGAGGTACAAATCTTAAAAAAGAATCTATCTACTTCACTAAGGGCCGTTATCTCTATAATTTCAATTTGGAAACGCAGAGTATATCGGTATCCCTTCCTTGCCCACATATTTCTATGACAAATCCACACTCATATTGGTTAACGCCATGGGCGACTTGATCCTATTTGTCTCTACTTATACAATTTTTCACTTGTATTTGTCTTTATTGAAATTTTTAAAAAAAAACATATAACATATTTGTTTTTATTTTTGCAAAAACATTTGGAGCATATGACATGTATGCGGGGAGTAGTGTTAAGATATTGTTAAAGAGTATTTCAACTATTAGATTGTGTAGGTAAAAGACATGCATGTGACCTTTTGTGTCTAGCTTTTCTGGAATCAAATAAGCACTAAATATTGTATCTTGGGTGCATTGAGCATTAGTGGGAGCAAACTCCTATATATCCTTTCTCTATTCTCCTTTGCAATTTTGTTATGGAAAAAATATTACTAATATTGTAACATGCACGTTTAATCAAAACTTTCAAAATTACTCATTGGAAAATATAATAATTTTTGTTCAGGAAATGTCATTAGGAATGATTCCCATGCCAAGAAGAAATGGAATCACTTTTATTTTTTGTCAGGAAATATCAATTTACTCATTAAATTAGTTAATAAGGTTTAACTTCATTAAAAAAATAATTTCAGAAATTCCTAATTTTTTTATTTCTGCACTTTTACCTCTATATTTTTATCTCAAAATAACTAAAATCATGTTCATCTTGTCAAAGCTCTTGGAATTGCAGACCTAACAAGGGGTAAATTGAGAATACTTTTATTATCTATGTTGCTCAGACTCTTCAAATTAACTCAAGTATTCTATTTTTTTTACATGTTTGATAAAATTAATTTCACGAAATGTGTGTTGCATGTGGATGTAGAGTGGTGTAGCACAATTTTTTTTATTTTATTAAATAACATTGGGAGAAGGCATAAGTACCCCTAGACTATGATCAAAATCCCAAAGACACCTTAACTAAACTAAGGTCCTATTACCCCTGAACTCATTTTATATATAATTTTCTGCACGTTTTGGCCTACGTGGCACACTCCGTGACTCCACACAATTGAGGCGCGTGGGAGATACTTGAATGCCACGTAAGCCAAAAAGGTGTACAAAATTACAAAAAAAATGAGTTCAAGGGGGTAATAGGACCTTAGTTTAGTCAGGGTGTTTCTCTGAGATTTTGGTCATAGTCTAGGGGAACTTGTACCTTTTCCCAATAACATTTGTATCTACTAAGATGAATAATCAAAATTTAATCAGAAACATAATTCAGATTTTTATCTTCCTTTAATTTTATTTGGTACAAACATGTAACGGTGTATCTCACATAATACTTTCTATATTTTGACTTTATTTAAATGAATAACATATATAGAGATTCGTGTGCATATGGAACTTGCAGGGGTGGGGATCCCTTCGTTAGAAAATTATGTTATATATAAAGGTCAATTTTTGTTTTATTATTATTATATATATATATATATAAGTATTGACACTACTTCACACAAATTAAAATTTTAGTCTAATGGTTAAGGTGTTATGAAAATTCCTTTAGTTCGTATGGTCTAGTCCTACTAGCCTCATAATTATACTTTTAAGTTAATTCTTGTAAGCTTAAATTGCAATTACAAGCTCAACTACATTTCATGATGAAGTTTTTGGAATTGAATTTTGTTGCATTGCATAATAGTTATATGACTTTGATCAATAATTTCATTCACTGAAGTTTGCATCGATTTGGTGTTTTCTTTTATATAATTTTTTTTCTAAAGAAGACCTTTAAATTATTTATTACTCTCTCTATTTTAATCTACTTTTTTTAATCATAATTTGACCCGAATTAAGACAGTAAGAATATTTTTGAATTTTTTGATTTTGAATTAAATGTTTGAAAATTTTCTCAAAAAGTCCTTCACTCTTATGATATTAAACATTTCGGGTAAAAGTTAAATTAATAAATTCCTTAACAAAAAAA